GGGCAGGAGCTTAGCTGTAGGGTTTGCATCTGATCCAGGAGTGATCAAGTATTATTTTACATACATCTCTCTAAAAAAATTGACATTTTGGTCCAGACACGAAAATGTGGTGAAGGGTGTCTTCATCTTGACCATACCTCATGCACCGGGATGGAACCATGGCCAATGTCTTGTGCAGCCTCACAGGGACTTTATGCCATCTGGTTAATTGTTTTTGGTTTTTTATTAATTCTCTTTAACAGACCAAGCTCTTCAGAAAAAGAGACAGTCGAAGGGTTTAGAACAAACCATTTAACATTGTCAGGGGTGCTTACAACAGTCAGCTTTTATCTACATGGTTTTAATCAACAGGTAATGTTACAAAGGGGGTGTCAATGCTAGTGATAGACGTCACTATATATGTCATGGATCTAATTTTGTCTATAGATCCATTATTAAGCCTGAGGTCAATTATAAGAAAGTCTTGGATAAATGACTGATCCCAATGCCCAACTAAAACTAAAGGAAGGAGGACGAGGTATAATGGTGAACCTTTGGTGATCCATGCAAGATGCCATATGCTTTATAAGATAGTGACCGCTAGTTGCACCGTTAGAGGTCTTTAAGGCTTGGTTCACACCTGAGCAGGGGCGGACTGACCATTTGGAAACTCGGGCACTGCCGGAGGGCTCGGGGTCAGTAGGGGGCCCCATGAGATGCCCCTGGTACCTTTTTCATAGGCTTTTTTGAGTTTGGGCAAGGACACGGAGCCCCATGATCCCCTATTGCCCGAGGGCCCCATGAGTTGTTAGTCCGCCCTGCACCTGAGTGATTTGAAGTGCATTTCTTGAAGCGTCAACATCAAGATTCCCATTATATTCAATAGTGCCCATTCGCACCTGAGCACCGTGTCTCTTGAAGCTCGAACACATGAGCTTCTATGGGGCAGAGTCACACAATTTTGGTCCCTGTAGATTTCATTGTGCATAACATGCATTTTTCACATGGTTACTTGCTTCTCCTTCTCCTAGTCAGTGGCATCCCGAGGCAGGTTCGGGGGATGTGGTCCGCACCGGGTGACAACGACCGCATGGGGTGACACCGGACCCGTTCCACGAAAAGGTAAGTTGTAAAGCAAGCCGACGATGGATCGGATCCATCCTGCGGAGATCATCGGCTTTCTGTACAACTTACCTTTTCTTGGAGCGGGTGCGGTGTCACCCCGTATAGGTTGAATGTCGACGATCCTGCGGGGATCGTCAGCATGCAACCTATACGGGGTGACACCGATGTAGCGGCAAGATGTGTCTCCCATGTAGATATGTCCCCCCTGAAGCAACTGCGGTTTCAGTTGCTTCAGGGGGGACATTTCTACATGGGAGACACATCTTGCCGCTTTACCGGACCCGCTCCGAGAAAAGGTAAGTTGTAAAGAAAGTCAACGATCCCCTCAGGATGGATCGGATCTGCGGTTTGGGGAGGATAATGGATCGGAGTCAGATCCATTATGCTCAATCTGCAGATCCGATCCATTCTGCGGGGATCGTCAGAGGGGGTGTCACCAAATGTTACCACACCAGGTGACACCAATCCTAGGGATGCCTCTGCTCCTAGTAACTGGCTTTCCATTGGCCAACCCAAAAATGGTCAAGCCTTAAATTGCCCCCCCAAAAATGTGTGTACAAATACGGATACAAAACACCCCAAAAACGCTTGAAGAAGCTCCGGCTCAAGCATGAACCTAGCCTAAAAGCCCAGCTGAACCTCCAGTATATTCAGCTACATACATTCCAGAAGAATCAAAACAAAAGGTGGGCAAAGTCTTACAATTTTGTTTTTTAGAAAGCAGCCACGGTTTGAGTGGAAAAGTCTGTTCCCTGAAGAGAAGGACCCTTGCTCCCTGTGTTGAAGCAGTGGTCTCTCTGCAGAGCTCTGACACCCTCCCCTTCTCCAACAGGCTTGAGCTTTGCCGAGATAGGTCAGATCTTTGTGGAAAGTCCACTTATTCCTTACAGATATCAAAGGACCTTCTCTCCAGCATGCTGGCAAGGGACAGGCTTTTTTATCCAGGTTGTCGCTGGTTTCTATAAGCGAACATTATTTTGTTTTAAGGCACCTGAAAAGTAGTTAGCAGATTCAGTTTTAAAGTTCACGCTCGGTTCACACAGCTGCGGCCAGGGACGGACTGACCATTTGGAAACTCGGACACTGCCCGAGGGCCCAGGGTCAGTAGGGGGCCCCATGAGATGCCCCTGGTACCTTTTTCATAAGCTTTTTTGAGTTTGGGCAAGGACACAGGGGCCCCATGATCCCCTATTGCCCAGGGGTCCCATGAGTTGTCAGTCTCTGGCTGCGACTTGAAAGTCATGCAACTTCCAGTGCGACTTTTCATTGCAACTTGATGCAACCTCAATATGATGTTCATGTTATGCGACTTGGCTTAGGTTAAAAGCTGTCAGGAGCATGTTATACGCCTGTTCCATGACTGCTGCTGGTCTCATTCCAGCACCCTGATTTTGGCTGAGCTGCACTCTCCCTGTCTGACTGTCCACCTGCAGGGTGATTGATGTAGGTAGCCTCTGGGTGGAAACCAAACCTGTTTTAAGCCTGCCAAGCCCTTAGTCTCTTCCTTGTGATAGTGTTTGCAGCATGTGCTTCAAGCTCCCTGTCTTCCTGCCTTGTTCTTTATGCCTTGACCTTCACCCTGCCCAGCCAACGCGTTTGGATTTCCTTAATATCGATCTTGGATTGGACTTTTACTACTCTCTGAACTCAGTCTGTCTTGTGACCACAGTTTTGACCCTGGCTATTCTCCGAGCATTGCCTTCCCCCTGAACCCAGACTGGAAGAAAAACATATGTGAAATATATTTTAAAAATATTCTTCCCAAATATATTGACATATGTTTGAAATACTATACTACAAATATATATATATATATTTATTGAAATATATTTTGAAATATACTGTAATATAAATATAAAAATATAAAATTGTATTATTTCAAATATATGTCAATGTATTTGAGAAGAATATTTAAAAAAAAAAATAATTATTTTATATATATATATAAATATATATATATATATATATATATATATATATATTACAAATATATTATATTACATAAATATATATATATAATACATATATTATATATATACATAATATAATATATACATAAATATATAATACAATATATATATATACATACATATATATATTATATTACATATATATATATATATACATAATATATATATACATACATATATATATACATACATATATATATTAATATATAATAATAATATATAATATATATATTATTTATGTTATATATATATATATAAATATATATATATACACATATATATATATATATATATATATACACATACATACATACATACATATATATATACATATATATACATATATATATATATATATATATATAATATACACACACACACATATATATATATACATATATATATATATATATATATATACACACACACATATACATACACATATACATACATACACACACATATATATACACACATATACATACTGCATGTTGAAGTGCATGTTTTATGTTACAAAATATATATTTTTTAAACATATTTTTCAGATTTTTTTATAACCTATAAAAAAAGTCATTTTAACATATATTTTTAATATATTTGTAAATGCATTCCAAAAATGTAGATTAAATGTATTTTTAAAGAGAAAACAGTATATTTGAAAATGTATTTTTAAAAATATTTTTCATATATTTTGTGATAAAAACACATTTCAGCATACAATATATATATATATATAATTTTATTGAAATATATTTTTAAATATATTGGATATGGCTAAAATTGTAGTATTTCAAATATATGTCAATATATTTGTGAAGAATATTTTTAAAATCAATTTTAAAATATATTTTTCTTCCATGTGGCGCCTGTCTGTCAACCGCAAGTACCTGTTCGCTGTGCTTAGTTCACGCATGCCTCGGTATGGTAGCCAGGCACTATAGCATTGTATATAAGATCTGAGGGAAGCTGAATATGTCTTCTTACCTTCTGGGAAAGGGGGCTTCCATAGGTGAACACCACAGAAACCAGCTATAATGCCTGACCATCAATGCTAGGAGAAGACGGGACATAAAAACCCTCTGAAGTTGCATCAAATTCACATAGATTAAGGACAATTGACTTTTGTGATTTTAATATTGCAGTCTATGGCACTGAAGTCGCACCAAAGATGCAGAAAAGTGGCGCAGAAGCTTCTTTTTAGGTCGCTGTGACTTGAGTCACATTGATTAAGATGACACCTATTAAAGTGTTACTGAACCCACAACAGTACAATCAGTCTGTAGATGCAGTAAAGCATGCTTGTTATACTCACTGTGGAATCTAAGGGGTTAATCCTCTGCATTGTGTGTAAAAACGCTGTTTGATCCTGACTTCTCTGATCTTCCCCTTTTTTCATTGTCCCCCTCTTATCTTCTGATAAGACATATTGTGGAAGTCACTCTGCACATGCTCAGTTTGGTGTGTATTGCTAGAGAGCTTTTTTTTTTCTCGGGGAGAGTGCATGTGATGAGCACAGGGCCAATCAGCACTACTGTCCAGACAGAGCTCAGGGGTTCTGCATCCTCCTAGAGCAAAATGAAAACTCCTCCTACAAGCTTTAACATGTGCTCAACTGGACACTGATAGAAGTCACAAGAGTGCTATATACTGCTGATAAGAAGAGGTATTTAGCAGTTTACTAAAATAATTGTATTTCCACGTTGTGTGTACTGTGGGGGACCAGATATGTGAATGCGGGGTCCGGGGAGACCAGATATAGTGAATGCAGGATCCAGGGATAGCGGATATAGTGAATGTAGGGTCCGGGGAGAGCGGATATAGTGAATGCGGGGTCCGGGGAGAGCGGATATAGTGAATGCGGGGTCCGGGGAGAGCGGATATAGTGAATTCGGGGTCCGGGGAGAGCGGATATAATGAATGTAGGGTCTGGGGAAACCGGATATAGTGAATGCGGGGTCCGGGGGGAGAGCGGATATAGTGAATGCAGGGTCCGGGAGACTGGATATAGTGAAATGTAGGGTCTGGGGAAACCGGATATAGTGAATGCGGGGTCCAGGGAGAGCGGATATAGTGAATGCAGGGTCCAGGGAGAGCGGATATAGTGAATGCAGGGTCCGGGGAGAGCGGATATAGTGAATGCTCGGGGTCCGGGGAGAGCGGATATAGTGAATGCAGGGTCCGGGGAGACCAGAGATAGTGAATGCAGGGATATAGACCGGATATAATGCATGCAGGGTCCGGGGAGACCGGATATAGTGAATGCTCGGGTCCAGGGAGACCAGAGATAGTGAATGCAGGGTCCGGGGAGAGCGGATATAGTGAATGCGGGGTCCGGGGAAGCGGATATAGTGAATGCGGGGTCCGGGGAGACCGAATATAGTGAATGCGGGGTCCGGGGAGAGCGGGATATAGTGAATGCGGGGTCCGGGGACAGCGGATATAGTGAATGCGGGGTCCAGGGAGAGCGGATATAGTGAATGCGGGGGTCCGGGGAGACTGGATATAGTGAATGCAGGGTCGGGGTGGAGAGCGGATAATATATAGTGAATGCAGGGTCCAGGGAGAGAGGATATAGTGAATGCAGGGTCCAGGGGAGAGCGGATATAGTGAATGCAGGGTCTGGGGAGAGCGGATATAGTGAATGCAGGGTCCGGGGTTTAGTAACACTTTAAAATGAATATGTTTTGTCACATTATCATGTGACTTTGTGTGTTGCAAGTGGCATGACAAGTCGCATAATAAGTCGCATCAGTGTGAACAGAGGCTCAGTTGCGCTTAAAAATATGTTGCAAAAAAAAAAGGTTGTGAACATATTAAACTGGGTAATCTGAAAAACCTTCGAATGAGTTCAGGTTGTACCATCCAGAGTTTTTTTCCCCAAACCTTTTGAGTCACCTCTTGTCTCCGCCCCCTACCCACCTCCAAGCACTGTCCCTTGGTTCCACCCCCTACCGACCTCCCAGTACCGCCCCTTTTAGAGAATACAGAATCAAGGATAATTTTGTGGTGTTAAGTAATTTGTATGGAATGTGTTAATAACAAGAAAAAGCAGTAAAATGCAGTAGATCCCCTGCAGACAGCAAAATGGATCCCTTACACAATAGAGCCCCCCAGCAACAATGGACCCCCCACAACAAAATGCTACCCCAGAAACAATAGAATCCTCCCCAGCAACCATAGACCCCCAGCAGCAACAACAGATTTCCCAGCAGCCAGCATCCCACATGGAAAAAAAATATATTTGAAATATATTTTAAAAATATTCTTCCCAAATTTATTGACATATATTTGAAATAGTGAGTGTGAGTATATATATATGTGTATATATATATATGTATGTGTATATATATATGTGTGTGTGTGTGTGTGTGTGTATGTATATATATATATGTGTATATATATATATATAAATGTGTGTATATATATATATGTATATATATATATATATATGTGTGTGTGTGTATATATATATATATGTCATGCTGAAATGCGTTTTTTTATATATTACAAAATATATGAAAAAATATTTTTAAAAAATATATTTTTTTTTAAATATATCCTTCATATTTTTTTTAAGATATAAAAAAGTCATTTTAACATATATTTTTACATAGATTTGTAAATGCATTCCAAAAATGTAGATTTTTATTTTTAAAGACATACAGTATATTTAAAATGTATTTTTAAAAATTATTTTCATATATTTTGTAATAACGCATTTCAACATACAGTATATATATATATATATATATATATATATATATATTTATATTTTTAAAATATATTGAATATGGCCAAAATTGTAGTATTTCAAATGTAGGGCAAAATATTTGGGAAGGATACTTATAAAATATATTTCAAATATATTTCTCTCCCACGTGGGTAAATCCTCCAGTGACAAGCAACAATAGACTCCTCCCTCAGCAAAAGATCCCTCCCAGCAACAAAATCCCACCCCCAGCAACATAAGACCGTCCCAGCAACAATAGACCCCAATGCAAAAATAGATTCCCACCAGTGACAATAGATCCCCTTGCAGCCAGCATCAAGAGACCCTCCACCAAAACCCTAGCAGCCCTTGCCACTACATACATTCAGTGCTGGAGGTGCCACAACTGCGTTCCCCCACTTTCCTGGTACCATCACAGATTTTCATTTTTATACTTAGAGAACAGGTAGTTATAATCTTTGCTGGAAATGCTTTTTTGGAACCCTAACAGTTGGTTGTATATAAATTCTGTAATTCTGCAGGTAAGGGGGGAAAATATACAAATATGGGTTATTAAGAAACATTTTTTTTTTAATTGTACGGTGTTCTCTTTTAAATTTTTTAGAACGTCTTAATGTATTTTTAATTTTATATTCATTCCTTTAAATTCTAAATAATTCTATGCAGGACCTAAAGCAGCAGCATGGAGTATTGGTTAGTAAAAAAAAAATGGTATTTACATAAACCCACATTTTTATTCTGAAGAGAAGAATTTTAAGATTAAAAAAAAATATATATATATAGCTCAGAAATCTAAAATACTGTGTGTTCTATTTAATAATAATTCTATGAATGTCGTTTTCACGAGTACAGTGAAAGAAAAAAAAGAAGGCAAAATAATGCAGGCCATAGATGGGGAGAAAAACGGCCGATTTTTCGTCCGAAAATAAAACCGGCCGATTATCTTATCGTTAGTGGACGATTTTGTCGGCCGTTTTTCGTGTATTTTGGACTTTCAGATTATCGGTGATGTTGGAAAATTTTCGAAAAACGCCCGACTTTATCCTCATTGATGGTCAAAAACGAACGATCGTTTTCCGAAAAAGGATCACAAAGGCCACAAAATGACATCATTTCCCGTTATAGGTTACTCATTAATCGGCCGATTTTCGTAATAATTGGTGGTCAGGTAAGTTTTTTAGACCGACCGATAGTTCGTTAATCAGCCGAAAATCTGCCGTTTTTCTCCCCATCTATGGCCTGCATTACTCTTGGATTTATGATAGAATTTTATCATACAACAAAGTGTCACCATACCTAAAGATAACATTTTTAAATATTTTTAATTTTACAAAAATAGCCTATGTATTTTTGTTTCATATCTTTCTGCCTTGATTAGAGATAAACTTTTAATACAACCAGAACTGTCTATGAAATTTTTTTTTTTACAGTTTATAGATAGTTCTCAATGCCATATACAGGCCACTAGTGGGTTAAATTTAATAAACACATTTGATACACCTGCATATTATTTTTGATACCTATTTCATCACCTGGGAGATTCTCATTCTCATCAAAAGAAGTGCATAAGTAAAGAACATTTTGTTTTTAAAGAAGTCATATCTCCCCTAAATTTCCCTGAAAAAAAAAATCTATTTTTCTATTTTTTTTTTTAATATACTGATCTTTATAGACAATGAAAATCACACCAGACAGGTGAGAGCAACACAGACATACAACATAATATCAAAAGCAGAGTCAACTCGAGAAAAAAATACATCTCTTTAAAACTAGTATTTGAAAACCTGACAGCAGTAAATTTTATATATTTTTAAAGTGTATGTCTGGACAAAATAAAGAAATGATATATTCAGTACGTCTCTGCAATACATGCACATTCCAACATGGTTTATCTTTAAAAACTGTTTTAAATACAGAAAAATAATTGTTTGTCTGCCAGAGATGCGGTGAGCTCCTGACTTCCTGTAGTGGGCTGACAACACAGTGTCTTCGCTGCACTGATGACCCAGCGGTGTTGTCAGCCTTGCCCTGTTCTTTGCTGGACTACAAGTCCTTAATTCGGTTATGGAGCATAACATAAGAGGGAGGTTTTCTTTAGTCCAGCAGGGGGAGCTCAAGAAGTGCTGACAACACTGCATGGAATTTCAGAGGTAGCTTTGTCAGCCCACTACAGGAAGTTAGACTGGATTTTTGGCATATCAAGAAGTCTTTTTTTTCTACTTGCAATGCTTTTAAAGGGATAAAACATGATGAACTATGCATGTATTGCAGAAATGTACCGTATATATTTTTTTAAATTTTGCCCAGACATGCACATTAAATTTTTAAATGATAACAGTCAAGCCATTAAAACAGTCTTTTTTTCATTTCATCTTTACTCCCTAGGGCATACTGAGCTGTTAGCAATGGTAACGTGGTCAGCGGAACCCTCAAACAATACACTAGTCACTCTAACTTGTCATGTTTCCTACCCCACATCATGGCTCTGACCTGAACACTGGGAAAAGCCAGGCACCTTATTGGCTATAACTGTTCAATATTTGTAAGCCAGACATTCTCAGACTGGTTTTCGAAGGATCACAGGATAGACTTCGTCTACCAAACCCGACATCTCTCCACTGGATGCATCTTTGTGCCTTTCTTGCAGTTGAACTCTTCTGAGAAGGCTTCAAAGTTCTGTAAGGAGCCCATTACTCTGAAAATAACAAGTACATGTTGTGAAAACTTCCAGTTCCAAGTCAGATGGTGCAAGTTTGTTTAGGGACGATTGTCTACGTTTACAACACAGACAGGCTAATAATGAATTTTTTTTTTTTATTAAATATTTTATTAATTTTCATTAAATTACATTATCATAAAGTGCTGAGCAAACTGTTGGCGCTATATTATTATTATTATTATTATACAGGATTTATATAGCGCCAATAGTTTGCTCAGCGCTTTACATTACAATGGGACACAGTACACGAGACAGTACAGTAACAATACGATTCAATACACGAGGGGTTCGAGGGCCCTGCTCCTTGGAGCTTACAATCTAGGAGGGAGGGGAGAGTGGTACAGGAGGAAATAACTGTGGGGGATGGAGTCGTAGGAAGAGTGAAGGAGTTCAGTAATTAGTGAGGGCGGGGTAGGCTTCCTTGAAGAGATAGGTTTTCAGGGTGCGCCTAAAAGTGAGGAGAGTAGGTGATAGTCTGATGGATTGGGGTAGGGAGTTCCAGAGGATGGGGGAAGCCCTGGAGAAGTCCTGGAGGTGGGCATGGGAAGAGGAGACCAGGGAACTGGAGAGAAGGAGGTCTTGTGAGGAGCGGAGAGTACGTTTTGGGTGGTATTTGGATACCAGGTCGGTGATGTAGTTTGGGGCAGTATTGTGAACAGCTTTGTACGTCAATGTTAGTATTCTGAATTTTATCCGTTTGCCAATCCCTCCACTGTCTTCTGATTGCCCGAGGGGGGGTGGCGGATACGGAGCGGTTGATGACTAGGATGACACCTAGTACTCTTGCTTGAGGGGAGGGACTGATGGTGGTGCTGTTGGTCTTGATGGAGAAGTGAGGGGGGGGCACGGGCTGGAGGGAAAACTAGGGGCTCAGTTTTGGAAAGATTTAGTTTGAGGAAGTGGAGTGACATCCAATCCGATATGTCGCTCAGGCTTGTGATACGGGTGGAGACTGAAGGGGTGAGGTGAGGGGTAGAGAGATAGATTTGTGTGCTGTCGGCAGTAACAAAATATAATAACTCGGTTGAATAATGAAAATTTTTGACTAAAGAATAGAGA